ATTAATATTAAAGCTTTAATCATACATTATACAAGAGTATTTTGTAATACAATCTAAATAAATGTTGCGATATGTAATTTTTTTATCCAAAATTTAGCTTCTGTAAGCTTTAGAAATTTTTTAAATAAATTATTGATGAATTTGGATATACGGGTACTAATGTTTTTATATTGTTGTAATTTTTGTTTTCATTCCCTGTTAGTTTCTGTAAGTCAAAATTTTAAGGTGTTTCCATAAAAAATTCTGTTATATCTGAAATTTAGTGTTAATTTCTAAATAATTTAATTTCTAAAATCTGTTTTGCATTGCCTGTCTTATAACATCTTTACTTGGAACAAAAACTACGTGGTTTAAAAGTGAGCTAGAATCTTTCAACAATTAAGAAAATATTGCATTCACTAATCCTAAAAATATATTAAACCTGTCAGCAAAATCAGCTGTCAATAATCCAAGTATTAGCATCATTAAAAATTCATCTTTGATGCATTACATTTATTTTGGTCCAAGTAGTTAAGGATTTTTTTAAATTTCAAAAAACAGAAGTAAATGTTTTTTTAATATCACTTTATCTCTTTTGATTAATGGTGATACTGCACTAACTGATGAAACACATTGACAGATGTAAGGCCAGTATAAAAGTCGCAAGATCTATTATTTTTAAAATAAATGTTTGTATACAAGTAAATTGCAATAACATGATTTGTTTGGATTATGTTTATATACAAATTTGTCTGTTTTCATAGTAATAACTGATGTGGTTGAAGTTAATTTGTCAAATAAATCTTTATTTTTTTATTTCGTGCTGAAGTTCTTTTTTAAAGTTATCAATTTCCTTTTTTAATTCTTGATGCTCTATTAAAAAACAACGCTTAGCATTAAATTCAACATATTTTAATGGATCATTTTTTGAAAAAGCTGTATTATATTTACATTTAATAATACCAGTCTTTGAGCATTGTAGCCCAAGTTAAACAAAAAATATCGATTTTTAAACGATAATGTTCTTTCAGGAAAATCGTCTGAACATGTTTTCGATCTCTTGAAAATTCTATATGATATAAGTTCAGTATTTACATTTTTTTCCATTATAAATCTCTATAACTTTAATCGTTGAAATAATGTTTACGATTTTACTTCCATTTCTGCGCGCGCATAAATTTTATATCGTATTTTTTGTCAACAATGATTGAAATAATGACGTTAAAATAACGTAAAATAATCAACGTTTAAACTGTAACGTTGATTTAACGTTGAAATAACGTAAAATAATCAACGTTTAAACGGTAACGTTGATTTAACGTTGTGACATAGTTGAACAACGTTGACACAACGCTTCGACCGAATTTCAACGTTGAAACAACGTAATAATGCCGGCTGGGATATATATATTGAACAATTGGAGAAAATTTGGAGGTTTAAGCATTTTTTAATGTTGAGATATCTTGTTTTGAGTTGATAAATTATGGTAAAATATTCATTTTTAGATATATCGCAAATAAGTAAAAAAAAGTTTTAAAAACATCCCATTTCGTAGCTATTTTTTGAAGATTGATCTTGATCTTTATCATTCCAACCTTTCCTAATTCCTCTTAAATCTTTTCTTCTTCTTTTTTTTTGTGGTTGGCCTTTTTTTACCATATTTTGTAACCTCTTTTGGTCTTTTTTTTACTGAACTAGTTATTGTATTTTTTCCCAAATCTAGATTTAAATGTTTAAATACACGATAAATACCAGATGAACTTTCATTAAAAGAAAGAACTGCTGAGTTTACTCCCATTTCAAGAACATCAGTCTTTACATAAACATTTTTAGGGCATCGAGACCAGATGATATTATTTAGTCCTTCATTACAATTTTGAGTTTGCCCATGAAGACATTTTTTTAATAGATCATCGTTACTCAATTTATCAAAGTCTTTCTTGATAATTTCATAAATCCATTCAGGCAAGTTTAACTTAGGAGAATAGTTTTCATCTGCTCATGCTTTTTCACTTTTTTTCCACTTGCACCAGCTATCTGGACCAATTGCACCAGCTATCTGGACCAATTGGGCAAAGAATATATCGATGCGATTTGTCTTCAAAATCAGTATAATGGCGCAAAACAGCTTTTATGTTTTTTTTCATTTGATACACTTTCTGCTCATCAGTTAAATTTTGTTTTGCAGCCGTCTGCCTGATAGCAATACCAAAAGCATTCTGCAATGTATTAACACTTGCTTCAGTTAACCTCCCTTCACCAGACAATTTTTTATCGCCATATGACACTTTGCGTCGACTTCTCAAACGTGAACCTATTCTTTTTTGAACATGTCCAACACATTCTAATTTTTCAGGTATAATACTAAAAACATCATATGGCTTGCTTGCAACGACATCATTAAAAGAAAAAGAATCACCGTCTCCCAATGTGGTTTAATTTACAAATACTATCATTTGTAAATTAAACCATATTGCGAGAGAGATCAACTGCACCAGCACTCTTCATGGCTCCTGACGACTTGGTATGATTAAGACTACACTTGTGCTTTACTTTCCATGTTTCATATTCTGTAGAACCTTTTTTATGTGCCCAAATTTGACAACCTCTACAATATTTACTCATTACTTGTACATCTAAACATTTTCCTCCACATATGGCTGTAACAACTCCATTTAATGAAGTGTGGCCTCGTGTTTGCCAAGAACCATCGATAGCAACTTGGACAAGTGCTTCTCCTGTGTTAAGTTTTTCTTTTAGCTCTAGTTTAGTAAGAGCAGCCTCATTCATTGATTCTTCTGAAGCAAATTTGTATGCTTCTTTAACAGTTTTACTTATATTGTCAAAAGCATTTACAGTTAAACATGACATGTTCATAAGTCGTGAAAAATTAACCATTGGTTGGTGTCCTTTTCCAATTTCATGGAATCCTATTAACATTTTCAAGTTAACATCAAACATGTTTCTACCTTTTTAATCATTTTTAACTATGTTTGAAGTAAAATTACTGTATGTAAAAGGACATTGAGCATTTGTACATGTTAAAATAAATTTATGGGAGAAACCCATTCTGCTAGAATAATCATCTGTGATGTTAACTTTACTTTTACACTCAGGACATGCACTAACTAAATCAAGTAACTGTTTGATAAAATTAAAATTAACAAGAACAAAATAATTATTTGTGTTGGCATTATTTGTATCTTCGAAATCAAACTTTAACTTTTTAGCACTGATACATGAAACACTTTCAGACAAGTTGCCAGTTACATTCGTATCTTAAATACATTGTGTGTGCTTATTACCACTAAATTCTCTCTTCTTAGATCTTGAAGTATTCTTATAATTACCCATTATATATTTAATTTATTAACCTAAAAAAAATATTTCCAGTAAACATTGTATCAACACAACTTGTGTTAGTACAATGGTTTTGTCACAGGAAGTGAGTAATTAAATGATCGTATAATTAGTGATGTGCCGGGTACCCGGTTCGGACCCGGGGACCCGGCAATTCGGCTGTTTTACCGGGGACCCGGTATCGGCCATTTTGTTGCAGTACCCGGCACCGGGTATCTTCAAATTAATTTTTCCTTTAGTTTAAACTTTAACCATTAAACTTCTTGATATAAGTCTGAGAGTGTTATGTAGTCGATAACCACAAAGTTCTATTAACTTAAAACAATCTCACTTAAAATATTTTTTAATACATTTCTGCAAAAAAATTTATACGGATACAAAAACTGTAACGCTAAATGAAATAATTTGAGAATACGAATAAAAAGAATTGGAAAAAAAGTTTTAAAATAGCTTCTTTTTATTCTGTTAGAACACAAGATAATTTTGCCAAGTTTTTATTCCAACTTTTAAAAAATGGACTCGGTGCCGAGTACCCGGACTCGGACCCGGTTTTTTCAGCCGGGTACCCGGAATCGGAGACTCGGCATAAACTGGTTCCGGCACATCTCTACGTATAATCATGCAATTTGAGTAAGTAAAACGGTTTTATTTTGAAAACTCAACGTAGTTAGCCTCTAAACTAAATCTTTTGTAATTACATAACAAGAAAACATACAATATTTTAATACATACAATGTTTTAAACAAAAGTTTTCATACTGTTTTTTTCCGTTGCTATAGGCGTTGCTAAGGAAGCTACTTTGTGACATACCTGCAAAATGCAAAATAGTAGCCTAAAAAATTTAAATTATTAAAAAATAGTTATACCATCATTTTCAGCAATGTTTAAATTCTCTAAAATCATATCTTTCAAAAAAAAATTTTTTTTAGATTTTGCGCTTTTTATTTCCTGTGAAGCCACCTTAAAATAAATTCCATTAAATTAAAATAAATTAATATTATATTAATAAAAATAAATTTATATAATATTAGATAAATAAATATATAAAGAAGACCTTTTTTAAAAAAAAAAAAGAATGTTGAGATTGCGCATGCGTTAAATGTTTTCAATGAAAATTACGATTGTTTTGATTGAAAATCACGATTGTTTTAATTGAAAATCACATTGTTTTAATCGATTGTCGCGGTGTTTTAAATGAATGTCATGGTTGTTTTAAATGGTTGTCATGATTGTTTTAAATGGATGTAAAAACCGGTATACATGTTTCTTGTTTTAGCCTAATTGATAATTCATTAGTATTACTTGTTTTAAGATAACGTTTTTTCAAATTTGTAATTTTTGGTTTACAATCATACGTGGTTTTTAATTTTCTTTTTGTATAAGTATTGGAAAGTGATCGCTAATATCAGTCAAAAACAGGACCGTAGCAACCAGGGAGGGGGACAGCAGGGGTATTTGCCCCCTCTCCCCCATTAATTTTACAAATAAATAATTTTGAAAAAATTGACAGAAAAAAATGACTTAAAAAAATATATATATACTATTAATATTTGACCATTAATTAAGAAAATGCTTTCACTGTGGAGGAGATTAGCATTTATGGTCGAATGAGTTTTTATTTTTATTTTTATTTATAGATGTGCGTTTTTTTCTTATATATTTTTATAACGAATCATAGCGTTTTGCTCCATTCGTTATAAAAAAATTCCAGTAAACGACTTCAGCAAATAGAAAAAAGTATCAACATTCATGATAATAATTATGAATTATGTAAAAAAATGTCATCAAAAAAAAGTCACCACGAGAAACGAGAATTCATGGGTTGTTACAACGTAGGAGATTTGTGAGAGATTTCAAGGTCGAGTAATTTGCTTTTTCTTAAATAGTAGACTTCATTTTAAAAGTTGCTAGGTTACTTTAATTTAATTTAAATATATGATAAAATTAATCTAGATGTATTCACACTAAAAATGCTCACATGAATACAGTACACAAAGAGTTTATTTTGCAAGTTTACTCATTCAACTTAATGAATACATTTCACAAATAGTTTATTTAACAAGGTAATGTAAGTTATATTTTCATTATTTTATTTATTTGTTTATTAGAGCTTTATTGGTTTTTAAAAACGGTCACTTCTATAAATTATAACTTTACTTAGCATAAAAAGGGTAAAGAAAACAAGAATAAACAAGTTTTAATTTTGATAAAATTTTTTTTTTTTATTTTCATTTTTTTGTAGCTTAAAAAAAACTTGTTAGATTTTGTAATGATTTTATAAAAACTTTTCATAAGGTTAACTTTATAAGTTTTAAAATAATTTTCTGTACAATTATATAAAGTGAAATGATTATTATTAAAATTCATACCTTAACTCTGACCCTAAAAGTTAAAGAACAGGGTTTAAGTTAGGGTATGGTTTTCAATAATAGTTCTTTTATCTTTTATCTAAGACTCATTTTTGACTGAACTTCAGGAGGCTGTCTGAAATACACATCTGCTAAAGGATAATAGAAATAGTGTTGCAAAATTTAAAATGTTTCATTTTTTATCGTGTAAAAACAGTATAAGGAATGTCGCAAATGAGTTTAATGAATATCATTGTAAACAAAGTAAAGGAATAATGTTGAAAATAAATTTTCATTTTTATATTGAAACGAAAATTAAGTTTGTGTCGAAAATAAAATTATTTGTGACACTATTCTTTTTTTTACTATTTATGACACAATTATTTTCTATTATTTGTGACACTATTCCATTTTTACTATTTATACCAAAGTTCATTTTTTGACACTTTCTTGTCATCCCTGCTGAAAGTTGGAATGTTCATAAATTAAATAACTTGAAATATTTGTTCTTAGTTTTAAACTTTAATCATTATTGTTTTTTTTTTTTAAGTTAAACTTCTAAGTTTTACAGTTTTGTAATTTAGAAAAGTTTCTATAATTTTTTTATAGTAAGCAGTGATTGCTAGCGAATAGTTGTTATAATTTTCAGCAGGAGAAAAATGAAACAATTTGAAGGTAACAAATATACATTGGCAATGTGTTGCCTGTGTCGGAGTTAAGGTTTAAATAATTTTTATTTATTAATGGTAAAGGTGAATTTATATAATATACTTTTTTCAATTAAAAGATTGCCACTGTTTACTTTCTCATACAACTCCTAACAAATAGCTTTTTACAATAAATTTTTCTGTTTATAATATATACCAGAAGTTAATTATGGATAGATGTTGCCTGTCCAAATGCCCATATTAGTTAGGGTGCAGTTGAAAAACAACATTTTTTAAATATTTTTTTGTCTGAGCTCTAAATATGTTTTAAACAATATAATGACACAGGATTTAAAAATGTTTTGAACAAAAAAATTTTTTAGAGGTGCCCCAGGTCCCTTGAACATTTAAAGGGTCCCTAATAATATTAGGGACCCTTTAAATGTTCAAGGGTCTTGGAACACCTCTAAAAAAATTTATTTAAAAAAAGTTTTTAATTCCAGTGTTATTTTATTGTATAGTACACATTTAGAGCTCAGACAAGACAATTTTTAAAAATTGTTTTTTGATGCACCTTAATATTAGTATGACATCATCAATAATATTTTATATACAGCTAAGTATTCATAAAACATTTGAGGCATATGCATTATGACTAGTAATGGTGTAATTTTTATGGTATGGAATAATGGTGTAGTTTTTATGGTATGGAATCTCTTAGAGCATGGCTGAAATAGCAACAACAACAAAAAAAAATACAGTGATCAATCAGACCAGACAAATACTTGTTAGAAAAGACTATTTGCTTATAAAGCTATTTGTATTATTTTTCACAACTAATTTACTCCCAACAAGGGTACAAGCAAACAATTTCAAGTTGAAAGTAACCGGAAAACAAAGAATATTGTTAAAAAGAAAAATTTCTGAAAACATGAAGATAGGAGAGAGTTTTAAAGGATAGTGGAAAGTCTGTGAAATAAATTAGATAAATAAAAAATTTTTAGAGTATAAAGCAGTCAGTCATAACGAGTCAGCAGTAGAGCAACATGATCAAAATTTGTATTGAATGTCAGACAGGAATTTATTAAACTCAAGATATGATGTTAGAAATTTGTTGATCAAAGACTCAAAGATCTTGCTGATAATAGAGAGAAGACTGATTGAACGATGTTTGGTGGGGTTAGAGTATTCTTCAGAGTTTTAAAAATCGGAACCACAGATGCCATTTTCCAGCAGGTAGGAAAAAAAGATCCAGTCAAACACTTATTAAATAGTTTAGGGAGAATTAAAGAGAATTCTGGAGAACACCTGTAAAACTTAAAAGAAATGTTGTCTGTAAACAAAAGTTAGTCGTTGTTCTCAATTATAATTATATCTTAAACAATGTTAGTTTCTAAATGAAATAACAATAAGTTTAAACAACAACAATATAAAACAATATAAAAACAAGAAATGAATAATGTCGCTATTTCTACATCCCCTTCCATGTTTTTAAGTGTCAATGAATATAAACATAATTTCTGGGTTCATTTCTTAAAGTCATTTAATGTCAAAGATTTCCCGGTTTCTGGTTGGTAGAATTTTTTGGGGATACGTAGCCTGGATGAACGTTTCAATGGTTGATCTCCTACGATTTCAGTATTTAATAAAGGTGGCATCGCTAGATGCGGCGAGCTTGTTGATAAAGATGCTGGCATCAACGGTAAGGGTACTGGAGTTGTTGGTAGAGGTAGTGGTGGTACTGCTGGTGCTAATGTAGAAGACGGTAGCAATACTGTAGATGGTGCTAGTTCCGGTTGGGATGGTATGACTTTGTTGCTACTTTCTGGGACATACTCTGTAAATGGTGTTGGCAAATCGGCAGAGTTATAGTGACTAGAGCTTGTTCTTGGTGGTGTAGTCAATGCAACTTCGGTTTCGTATGACTTTAGTGGGTTGAGGAATTTGCGCAAATATTTTCTATTTCTTAATGTTAGTCGACCTGTTCCTTCAACCTTAATGATGTATTGGTCATTTTCCTTACATTCAACAACTTTTCCACTACGATCCCATTTTTTAGGGTGGTTCCCTACTTGATTTTGTATGAAGACGCTGTCTCCTTCATGTAGTGGTGTGAGAAAACGTGTGTGTTCTTGAAGTGATTCAAGGGTCTTTGCATATCTTGTTCGTAATGCTTCTTCTTTTGCAGACCATGCATGTCTCCACGTTTTCAAGAATTGGTCGTTATTAAACATAGGTATTCTGGATTTTATCCTGGGCATGGCGTCGTGAATGGGATGGCCAAATAATACTTGAGCGGGGGATAACTGACAAGTAGGGTCTGGTGTGTTTCTTATTGTAAGCATTGCCCTTACAAAAGCGTTATTATTGAGATCACCATTTGGTCCCACATTATTTTCGAGGAGGCGTTTTGTTGACTTAACTGCAAGCTCAGCTCTTCCATTAGATTGTGGGTGGTGGGCTGATGAAATGCGATGAGTTATGCCCCATTGTTGTAGAAATTCTTTTGTTTCTCCAGAGATGAATTGAGGGCCACCGTCGGTTGAAATTTCTTCTGGGACTCCAAATGTTGTAAATAGTTTACGTAAGCATGTGATAAGACCTTTTGCACTCATTTCTGATGTTCCTGATTTTATTCTGTAGGCTTCGGTCCATCCAGAAAGTCTATCTCCAATGACCAGATAATCCCAGCCACGGAATTCAAAATAGTCAGCAAATATGCATTCAAATGGTGTCACAGGGATGTGAGGTCGGATGGGTGGTAGTCGTGCATTAGAAGGTGCATTTCGATTACAGCTGCAACAGTTATCGCGCTTACTTTGTATGCTGTGAGTGATACCTGGCCAGAAAACAGTGGCTTGAGCTCTGGCTGTCATTCCCGATACTCCTTGGTGGGCTGAGTGTAGTACGTCCAATATCTCTTTCCGTAGAGTAGGTGGGATTACAATTCTGTCATTGTATATTATAACCCCGTCGGATACCATCAAGTCATTGCGGTATTCCCAGAACGGTAAAAGATTTGGTATGAAGTTGTTCTTATTTTTTGGGAACCCGTTTTCTATTGCTAACATTAATGCTTTAAAATCGGTATCCTTTTCTGTCTCTGCTTTGACACTATCCCATGTTACTGCAATCATTTTATCTATGTCGTTTCGTATCGAGGCTATTATTAGTGATTCTGTGTTGTCAAAATCAGTATTTTGATTGCAAGTGGCTGAATTATCAGATTCCTTTGTGTTCTCTGCAGGGTAACGAGAAGTAGCATCTGCTGCCAGGTTTGTTTTTCCTGGTTGATGTTGGATGGTAAATTTCCATGGCAAAGTTCTCTGTTTTAGTCGGAAAAGTCGTGTGTTAGCAATTTCATCTAAGGTCCTATCTCCTAATAATTTGACAAGTGGTTTATGATCAGTTACTACCATAAGGTTATCACAACCTTGTGTGAAATATTTAGTCTGCTCCAGGCTCCATGCCACTGCTAGCATTTCGCCCTCAACTGGTGCATATCGTTGTTCAGCAGATGACAGGAATCTCGACCCTGCTAGGGTTATTTTCCATCCGTCTATACAGCAATCTGGGGAGTCCGATTTACATTCACAATGTTTTTGGCTTAGGTAATATCCTATCCCCAATTTTGACCAGTCGCATCTTAAACAGGTCTTCTTGGTGATGTCAAATATTTGGACTCCATCTTTAATTGCATTGATAATTTTTTCCTTTGACACGTTGAATAAAGTGTTGAGTTCGTCCGACCAATAAAATTTTGATTTAGGGCTAAGCAGAACTCTGAATGGGGCCATAGTTTCTCGAAGTTGAGCGTAATGTGATACTTGGGTCACTAAGCCGAACCAAGATCGGATGTCTGTTATTGAGGATGGTGTTGGAAATGATCTAATGGCATCGATATATTTAGGTAGATATCTAATTTTTTTATTTGAATGCTCAATTGCACTTAACTTTAACACAAGTCCGCCTGCCTCAGCATCTTTGGTTGCATTCGATTTCTTATCATTTGGGATGATTCTGTTGTTAATTTTAGAAGTGCGAGATTTGAGCTTCTTCCAACAGTCTAGACACAGCTTGTGGGGTTTTTTGTTCCATCCTCTGGATGTTTCTGTAAATAAACTGTAAGATTCTGAGCAATCTGGACATTTGGCTGTTATATTGGTCCCTTTACTACTCTGTGTATTGCTCTTGTTTTGTTTCCTGAAAGTTGATACACTTGCTGTTGTTGAACTACAGCCTAGTGCATTTCGTGCCATTTCTTTACCCTCTATAAAAGCAATGATATCTGTGACGGAGGCTGTGTCAAGGGAGACCCATCCAAGTACGTCTTTGCGGATGTCAGTATCTGATAGCCCAGCAACAACAATGTCTCGTATGATAACATCGGTAAAATCAACAGTTGTTTGTGGGTGGCAGTGGCATTGAACAGTGTAGTTGCAAGTAGCAGCCTTGCCTTTCAGTTTTGCATAGAATGACCGAATACTTTCGTTGTGTCCCTGTCTCATTTGAAGGAGTTCTGCTCTTCTGACGCAAGTGGCTACTGGGATAACGGCCAGTTTTTTCATTGCTTTTAGAAATGCCTCATCGTTTTCATTAATTATCATGGGATTTTCTTTTAGGAGTTGATTTCCAAGGTCGTCCTCACAGCACTGAAACAGCTGTGCTGTCATCTCTTCTTGTCTGATGTCTGTACATCTCTTAAACAATGTCCAGCGACTAATAAAGTTTGCCCACTCTTCTTCTGAGATATCCTGACCGATGTGGGGGCGATCCATTTTAGGTGCCTTGTGTTTTGAGAAGGCTGAATGAGTGTCAATCGAGTTTGGAGGATGGTGAAGCTGGTGACTGTTGAATAATGCAATTGCAATTGCTTCGCTGGGACCTTCAATGAGGACATTGCATCCTGGGGCCTGGCAAGGTAAGCTTATTGTGGACATAATGTAGGAAAGAAAAAGGTTAGCAAAATCCTACCTTTTGTGTGTACATTAACAACTTCAAACGAATATGTAAGTGAATTACAATTTC